TAGTTATATATCGTCTCAAAGCACACTATATCAGTCACTTTAAGAATGGCTTCGTTCACCATTCTGTTTTATTTTAATTTTGACAAACATGTAAACTAACATCTGTATCCATCCACTTCTTCATTTCCATCATAAAGAGAAGCCTTTGTGTAGCAGTTGGTTTAGAATATCCATAAAGTTCATAATCCTTTACACCAATGCTATCCAAATTTTGATAATTAAAATAATATTTTGATGAAGATTTCGCTGTGTCTGCTGGCGAGTTTCTAACTTGTATTTTGGTTTTAACTGTTCTGCCTTTTCATTGTACTTGTAAACTGTCATTCTTATTTCTGGAGCGTAAATGTACCGTTTCTGGAAATCAGAATAAAATATCTGCAGCTCTCAAAAGGTGTATCATTCAATATTACATCTAAAGGGTTAATAAAGACTCTTATATGAAGAACGTGTACCAGCTACTGTTCCGCACAAACAAAAAAAGGGGCAACAGTTCTTAGTTTTCAATTTTGAATAATTATCAATATTGTTTTTTTCTTACGACCATGTTCTGTTATGAAAAATACATGTTTTTTTTTCAAATACATATAAAATTTCAGCTATTTGCTCTAGTAAAAGGAAACAATACAGCCAACTTTAGCTGCACAGATGTTGGTTGAGTTCTCTTCCACCTCGGCTCAGAATGCAAGCATGTTGACATGATCTATGCACTCTGAAGGGGAAAAAAAGTTACTTTAAAGGATAGGTATATTAGAAACATTTTACCGGTGATTTTCTTAAAGTGAAGAAATCAAAATAAATTCAATTGACACATCTAAATTGAACATATCTAAAGGTATAGTTACAAATCCTGATAAAAATGCTTGTCCTGATGAAGATGAGTGTCTATGCAGTGCAACTTACGGTATGGAGTTGTGGTCACAGGATGGAAGTGGTAGGGTGGCACTGGTGGCACTGCCTGCATCGATGATACAACACTATGCATAGTAGCAGCTGCGCCTTGCATTCCCTCCACTTGAACTGTAATATCAATCATTCTGTTGTACCACGGACTACCATGTATAGGTATACATGGTAGTATACCATGTATAGGTAGTCCGTGGTCTGCCAAAACTGATTGTTTGGGAACGAATATGCAGCATAGAATATACTCCATAGATTTACAGACTAACTATCATAATTAATATGACAATATATTTTTCATAAATTGATATTCACCGTGTGTAAGGCTTTAAGAGAAACCTTAGCGGGTATGTCTAGGTCTGTTGAATGTATCAAGCATGAAGATTTTGGATTCATGTACAATCCGGCCTTTGAATGACTAAATATATAGCTTACAGTGTCATTTAGTTGTTAACAGGTCTTCCTAAACAATGCCGGTCTGTTGACAATTTTCCACCATGCTTAGGATCTGTAACATAAATTTCTTTGTTTATTTTAAAAAGACTACTTATTAGGTGAGAGACGCCTGGCCTCTGGTCTAGCTTTGTTATACATACACAGGAGCGAATTTCAAAAGCATCAAGTTTGCCGTGTCTCGGAACATATGTCTTCTACTCAGAATGAATAATAGACTGTCAACCCATTATTAGGCATAATCGACCCACAGTCCTTGCAGCAGTTTTCAGTGCTTATGGCCAAAACACTTGAATTATCCTTGTACATTACCTAACTTTCCTCTGCTAAATCAAGAGATATAGCATTCCCATATCAACAGCGCCATTACCGAACAATTATTGCTGATAAGTCTCTAAATGCAGGTGTTAACTTAAAACTTCACATGGTGTCCGTCTTTCGATTTCTTCTAACAACAGTATTACAACACTTATACTGGACTTCAAAACCAAACTGAAATTAGAACATGAACAAGCTGTCACTTTCTTTTCATTCTAAGTTCTACGTCACTCGAAACAGAGAACACATCTATTTTGCAATAATATTAACAAGTTTGTACAAGGAAATGATTCTCTTGACATATATATTTTTTATGCCACATAAAAAGACCTCTGGCAAAAGCTGCTTTGCGCTCCGGCAAAGGCCAGCATCTCACTACCTAGAAAACTTTTAAGATAGAGCTTGGACTGGTTTTCCTATGGCAAAAAATCACCAGAGAGGTTCATTAGCAATATCTTTTCAACATATATCTGCTGGGGGGATTATTGGTAGTTGTTAATCACTGAAGTCACTGAATGCACACTTTTTAACATTCTTTAACGGTTGTCTTTCCCTTGACCTAGTTCATTAATCAAACGTGAATGTTAATTTTCTACTCAGCGTATCCCCTTTCTGTACAAATGACCCCAAGATTGGCTGCTTCACATTTTCAGTACATATGGAATTCAGAATTCTGTGATATAGCTTGATAAATAAAGGCAATCATTATAGAATGTAGTATTCGTTATATAACAATTCATTTACTTCAATGATTTTAAAAGCACTTCAGCAGAGATGAATATAAAGTCAAATCAGTATTATATAGAATAGTTATGGAAATCACTGTATAAAATAATGCCATGAATTAGAAGCAATTAAGGATCTATCCATGTGACACACACATACACATATATATATATTTGTGTGTGTGTGTGTGTGTGTGTGTGTGTGTGTGTGTGTGTGTGTGTGTGTGTGTGTGTGTGTGTGTCTATGTGTGCATGGATGCATACACGTGTGTCTGTATGTGTGTTTGTCTATCTATGTGTGAATGCATGCATACTCATGTGTGTGCGTGTGATGTGTCTATGTGTATGCCTGTATAAGCGTGAGATCGCGCATGTTCCATTCCCATTCCGGCTTCCGCGGCCAAGGCGGCGGCGAGCGTCTTCTCCCGAGGCCGTAACACGTCGCCGTCTCGCCTCCCGCGCTTGGACCTGGATTCCCGGCTTCCGCGTGTGCTCCGGGCAGGCATGTTTATTGCCGGGCGAAGGTTTCGTTTTCCTGACGAGGCGGACGGTCTGGATCCTTTTAAATGGCCGCGCCAGAAAAGGAAGCAGTCGGAATGGAAGAAGCATTTGCAGTATTTGTTTGTTTGCATACTGTCTGTGTACCGTGGAACTGAATGTATGTATATGTACATATGTATATCTGTGTGTGTGTATATATATATATCTATATATATATATATAGATATAGATATAGATACTATATATATATATATATATATATATATATATATATATATATATATATATATATATATATATATATACATATATAGATGTGTGTGTGTACACACGCACACACATACACACACATACACACACACACACACACACACACACACACACACACACACACACACACACACACACACACACACACACATATATATATATATATATATATATATATATATATATATATATATATATATATATATTTGTGCGTGTGTGTTCACATTCATGCACTCCATCGGACGCGCATATCCTCATATATATGTATATATATATATATATATATATATATATATATATATATAGAGAGAGAGAGAGAGAGAGAGAGAGAGAGAGAGAGAGAGAGAGAGAGAGAGAGAGGCGAAGAGGGGGAGAGAGAGAGGGTGGGGTGGGGGGAAGAGACCTCGTTATAAATGATTGCTGACAAACGTTGAGAAAGTGACACATGCATCATTGTCAGAGTGACAGCTTTTAGAGTAAAGAAATGGGTCACATAACCTATACTGTCAGGCCATTTTTGAGGGAAGTAATTTCATGAGGAAGATTATTTTTCGTGTTTTTTTTCGATTTCCTTTTCCAATAACGCAAAGTAAAATTCAAATCTAAATATCATGCGACAAGCTTTGAGCTGATTGCGAAACAATATCACCCTGTAAAAAAAAAATGATACTGCAAGAACTGAACACGCATTGCTCAGTCCACGAGGGAAATTCCCAACGTGTCGTGAATTGACTATCCATGAAAAGAAAAGATGAGCCTCGTTTTTTTTTTTTCCTGAATGCAGACTCTCGCTCTTGCAGCTCATTCATGTGTCTGCAAAGACCGCCTCGTATTACTACAGTAGGCACGGGTAAAAGAAACCATGAGAGGTTCACATTGGCTGATATTTTATCTGGGACTGCAGTGGCGCCCGGAGCTTTGTGCTGAATTATTGTGGTGCCTGGGAAGTGCCTAGACTGCCAGACCCAACGTTGAATGTTTACATGTGCAGCCCACAAACACACATGTCGGAAAAAAAGAGAAAAACAAATGACAAATCCACACAGTTATACAAGTAGGATGCATCGGCCCCTTAGGGATTTGAATGTGAAAGTTCATGTTGAGGATCCAGGTTTCCGAAGAGGACGTGGAGCTGTTGCTAGGGCGGCGGGCCTTCGTTCTTCCCCTGTGTATTTCGGCAACATGCGGCTACTTGGAAGCGCCTGGATGACACGCCCATTGCAAGTCAAGACGCAGTTCTTGTTACCCCCCGACAGCGGGAAAAGGGAAAATATAAGAGGAATTTGTTACGGGAAATCATATTTGTGCTGCTAATCGTACAGAATATATAAGGTGGTTACTAGACGTTTATTTACGTGAGTGCAACCTGCGTCCTGACCTTATCCATGGAGCGGCGAATAAATAGTCAGATATCTCCTTCATATTACAATTTTAGAAACAACATATATAAATATTAATTCGAGACCGGTACTGGAATGGAAGTAGAACACAAATGAACGTAATGAAGGTGCACAAATCCAACGAATTTAACAAGAAAGACCGTCAATTCAGAAGATGATAAAACGAAAAAGAACAGACGAAGGGAAAAGAAAAGAAAACGAGAAAGAATTATAACGAGACGACTGAGCTTGAGGCTATGTTCGGTATTCCTTAAGACGGTAAACAAGATAGAATATTACTGAGGGAAAAGTTTTTTCGTTGTGTTTATTTACTTGTTTGTTCATTGAGCCAAAAATATCTCATCTTTGAGTTCGTTCGTATTTTATTAATTACACTAGAGGTAAAATTATTAGTTGTATTAGCGATGGTGACCCTGATTTTCTTCAGTATTATCATCAATATTACCAGAACTATCTTCATTATCATTATTATCATTATTATTATTATTATTATTATTATTATTATTATTGTTATTATTATTATTATTATTATTATTATTATTATTATTATTACTATTATCATTATCATTATTATTGTTGTTGTTTTGTTGTTGTTGTTGTTGTTGTTATTACTATTATCACTATAATTATTATTATCGATATCAATATTTTTATTGTTCTTTTAATTATTATTATGATTATCCTTATTATTATTATTTTATTATTATTATTATTATTATTATTATTATTACTATTATTATTATTATTATCATTATTATTATCACTATTATTATTATTATTATTATCATTATCATTATTATTATTATTATTATCACTATCAATATTATTAATATTTTATTTTTATTAATATTATCATTATCATTATTATTATTATTATTATCATTATTATTATAATCACTATTATTATTATAATTATTATTATCATTATTATTATTATTATTATTATTATTGTTATTATTATTAATATTAAATTGTTG